AACGAACTGAACCAAAAGCAGGTTGCCTGGAAGGGAGAGTGACTGCAGCCGTGGTTTAAAGTAAGTTCAGGACACTGGGCCAAGGTACACTGAGTTACTGCCATCAGTCACCTGCAGTGGAAACTCACAGATTAACGGATACAAACTCCCAGAGGAAACCACAGGAGCCGTCACATTTGGATATCTGGATCCTACGTTGTGCACAACTACTTCCCTCCAGCTAAATAAAGTTCTTATCTTTGCAGGTATCTGGTCATAAACCCAATTATTGAACTTAAAGGCAACAACAATTCATCCTGTGAGGAACATGAACAAATGTCAACCTCTTGGTGGCGCTCAAGGAGAAGTCAGGAGAGAGTTCCCAGTCTTTTTAAGAAATCATTTTCCAGTACTTTTTCAAGGAGTTTGACAATACAGGACAGCACTTGCTCACAAAAGGTTATATCATTTATCGGTAGTCCTAATATTGACTTCTTTTTTATGTGTCTCAGGTTCACCACAGACGATTTTTATAGCAAACTAAATGTTTTTAACTTAAAAAAGATTCTTGATTAAACAGCTTTTACTAATAATTTTAAGTAACACCAACTTGTTACAGACACATTCCTGGTTAAGTACTCTTTACTGTAGTATTTTGTTTTTTTATAGTATAAAATTAAGTCAGTGCCACTTAAAATTACTAAATTTAGTGGATCAAGAATGTTTTTTAACTTGCAAAATTAAGTTAGTTTTACTTAAACTTTTCGATGTAATCAGTTTCAGAGTTATCTGGTTTTACAGTGTAAAGTTTTCCTTTAACAGTAACATTAATTTGACCACAGCTCAACAGTAACAGTTCAAATCAAACAGAATTTATCTAAGAACAGTTGAGTTTCAAACATAATATGCACCTAGGTTTCTGTAAGTGATCTGAGTGGGGGACTAAAATATAATTAAACATTTCCAGGAACATATTAATCAAATTCCAGGGGTCTAAATTTCCTGATTTTCAAGGTTTTCTAGGACGATGAATGTACCAAATCTACCCGAATTATACAACAAACGTGCTAAAGAAGTCAGAATCCATCATCGACTTCCTGCACTCTGACCTATGAACCTTCCTGCTCAGAGGCTTGATGGTTCTCCACAGGTTCAGACACTGTGGAGAACACACAATGCGAGAGAGAAAGGATTCATGTTGGATCATCCCATCATCATTACCTAATACTGCAGTTAAACAGAGACATGAATATGTTCAGGTTGGACAGTTTAGCTGTGATTATCTCAGCAGCTTTAGCTGAAGACTCCTATAATAGAACATCCCCTCTTGACCTTTTCTAACTCAACTGCAGAAGCCAATTATTATTCTTTGTCTGAACCAAACTGATAACATTCGTGCACTTTGCAATACATTTTATTGGTTCGCATCGACGTTCCTCTACCATCGTTATCCTGAGCTTAATCACACCAACACCAAAGTACGATGTGACTATCTAACCCCAAACCATTTAAAAATAATTGATCTGAATTTAACCCGTCAGATTCATGATTACAGAGATTTGAGGCATGTAATTTTTATTCAACCTGGAATCCCACATTCAGATTAAAAGTTTAATTTTCTTTATAGTTTACAGTTGCTGCCTGTAAAACACTGTAAAGTTAAAGAAAGGAGTTAGCTTTTGAAGTTTTTTTTTCCTGAAAACAATACTGGAAAATAAATTCAGATACCAGGACTAAAAGTTAAACCAAAAGGTAAAAAGTAAACTGGATTCACACAAAAAGAACAGATTAAATTACTTACATTGCGCTTTATAGCAGGCAGAAAAACATTTAGCCTAACAGTAAACTTAAAAATTTGATATTAGCAACACACTAGCCTCATACAGCAAGCACAATAACAACATAATGTTCAACTGAAACCAACTGCTGCTGTTAGAGTATACAGTTAACTGTTTGCTTTACACTTTACTGCAGGAATAGGATCATTTCGTACACATATCCCCAAATTTATTACCTTATATACTCGTATCTTTGCAAACTCTCTGGCTGACTCTGGCGCCCCCCCTGTGGACACACACAGTAGTGTTTCCACCGCCACGTTTCATTGATTTCAAAAAGAAATCAGATCCTGATATCAGGCTTTAAAGAACAACTATAAACAAAACGATTGAGCATTTGAATGCAAGTGTGCAGTTTTCTATTTTTCCTTTACTTTCTATGTAAAGTTACTTTTTACAAAGATATAAAATCAGGAAGAACCAGTGAAGTTATCAGCTGGTTGCAAACCTCAACTCTGTACACATTAATATAATATTCATAGGTATGTTTTCATTAGTGTTTAAATCACTTGAAAATAAGAATCGTTGTTTTCGTTACCTTATTTACAGACGCTGCGAGTCGCCTTCCTTGGAGACCGCCATGTTTCAACACAATGTTTCTACTGTAGCACAGAACCGACAAACAAAATTGTCCTACCTTGTTTCTCCTTCGCACTTGTAAAGGAAGGGTGAAGCGAGTGAGTTGCAATCTCCAACTACACCGCTAGATGCCCCTAAATCCCACTACAGAGAAATACTACAAGTAAAAGTCCAGTTTTACTTTAATAAAAGTATTAGTATCAAAATAAACCTGAAGTACCAACAGTGAAAGTACCTATTTCAGAATAATGTATAATATACAGCATTGTTTCATTACAATCATTGAAGACACGAGGTGAGAACTAGCTGCGTCCTAAAGGCACTGCCCTGTGTAATGACTGACTGTTGAAGAGTGAACTTTTGAAAGTGTGAAGCCGTTGCAGTCCGTCAACCTTCTCTGGATGAGTAAAGGTTATTATATTTCTAAAGAAACAGTGACCTGACCACACGTTGCTGGTTTTATAATCCCTTGGAGCCGATCCACACTGGCCTCTGTTATTTGCCAAGTCAGGTGACTGATGAGAGGACGTGACCTCAAAGCAAAGCTCTTTAACTGGCCAGGACATTGTGACCTTACACTGATCTTGTTGCCTGGCTCCTCACCTGCAGATCCCTGTTCAGCCCCGGTCTGCAGAGACCCCCTAAAACACACAGAGAGCACCACGAAAACCTGCAGTATCTTAGAGCTCCCCTCAGTTTGCACACAGATTTGGTTTCCTTTCATTGTATTCAATGTACAAACACACTTGCACAGACTTAAATACTGCAACTCTATGACAGGATGTCTTCTTTTATTGTTTATAGATGTTAGTTTATAAACCCTCTCTTTAAACTGCATTAGCATGTAACACTACTTTTGATAAAAATACATGTGGCGGGTGTTCAATCTAGTTTCAATAAAAATAGATGCAACCAGTGGAGGCTTTGGAAGTAACTTATTTTTGACCAGCAGGAGGCATAAAGACACGTAATCATCATCTTTACAAATAGCTGGGGTGGTGGAGCTTTAATCTCTCATTAATCCGGACGCATAAATCCCCGGAAACAACGCAGCTTCTCGTCGTTTTTACACTTTGGTTTTGATACAGATTAAACAAACAAGGTACAACCTGTTAGTTACTGAGATTTTAAGATACGTAACATCCGGTTTCACTTAATCTTTATATAATTTAAGTTTGTATTCTGTAAAAAACGTTATATTTTAGGAGACTGGAAGGTTTTTTTTTCTGATTTGTGCGCCCATTGAAGAACTGGATCCAAACAACAATGATGGTTAAAAGGTAAATTATTTTCAGTAACTTAAAGACACATTGAGAACCTCCTGTTTGATTCTGGATTGAGATAAGTTATTAAAAGGGCAGAAAAGTCTCCACTGGAGGATGTGTATATCTTTTATAATATGTGTAAGTAAAAGAATGAGGTGGAGTTATGCTTGTGTACTTCCTCACTGTGTTTCTTTAGACACTATATTTTAGTTTTTACCCCTCATGTTTCTGACAGGGAGTTTGTGGAGACTGGAGGGTAAAAATATAAACCAGATATAAAACCCTGGTAGGTGGCCCTCAGCTCTACTACTCCTCATGACTGATTAGTGAGGCTGAAGTATGATTGTGGGTAAATCTGTGCCATCAAAACTTGGAGCCACACCAGTCGTGGTTATTAATAGCTCTACAGCCTCTGACCACACTGCGCCCAGCCCATCCTGCCCTGTACTCACTCAATTCAACATGAACACATGTAATTTAACATCCAGAGACTCTGAAAACAGAGTCAGTAATGTAAGAGTGTGCATTGAAACCACACAATCAATGGTTGAAAGGCCGAACAGGAGCTGAGTTTCACTACTTAAAGGCACAGAGAGAGGCCAGCCTGGGACTCAGTTTGCAGATAATGTAGATCATCTCAAAATATGCACAAATTACTGTGGCCGCCTCCGTAGAAGAGGACCCGCTTCCTCTGTAGATAAAAACAGCTCATTCGGAGGAAAAAAAACCACAATGATTCTTATTTCCAGGTGATTAAACACTAATAAAAACATACCTATGAGGATTATATTCCATATATTTCCATTCTTAATTGTTATACACTGGACCTTTTAATTAAATATTTTAGGAAATACACTTAATCACTTAGAAGATCAAATACAATACTCAGATCTGTGCTTCAATTTAACAACAAAATGTAGTCCAACACTTCAGATATGATGGACTTGTTCACTAACAGTTGCATATTTACACATCCAGCAGTCACAGAGCAAGAGTCACAGAGTTTATCAGAGCTTTTCCACTGAACACAGCGCTGAGAGTGAACCATAACAGTAAAGTAATGGGCCGAACAGCCAAACAACGAGCTGAAATTCACTATAAAGCCCTGAGCGGAGCTGCAGATTCAGCTGATAATTCTCTGTAGGTTCATCATACATCAACCTCATTCACATTTCATACATCGTTTCTCCTCCCTTTGTGAAATCCCTTTCCTGTTCTCTCACTGGTCTTCCCTCTCCATCCTTCTAGATCCTTACTGTGAGTGAAGACACCTCCTCTCCTCCCTCCCTCCCTCCCTCTCACAACAATCCCTCCCTCGTTCACTCCCTCCCTCGTTCACTTTGCATTTGGAGCTCCTTCTCTCTCTCTGTCTGTCTGACTCTGTACCTCGATCATTCCCTCTACGTCCCTGCGGTTAGAGGAAGGATGCTGCCCCGCAGACTCCTGGGTCTGCTGGGATTCCTCATGCTCTGCAACGGTAAGAGAAAACACCAACTTTTCTGTTTATTTTATCAAAGAAAATAGTAACTTTTAGTTGACTGTGAAAGCTCCAATGTGCTCCCAGTGCTGTCTGTACCTTGAGGAGGGTTTGATCCTGCAATAATAACTGTGCTGCACTCCAAATACCCACAAACAGACAATACAAGTGTGTGTGCCTGCAGACAGAAACAGCTCAATATAGGAGTGTAGGAAGGAGCAGATTAAGTTGATAAGTCAACCCCCCCCCCCCATCTGCTCGTCTTTGAAGTTTAAAATGGAAAGGCCTATTTCTGTCTGCCGGTTACACACACGTACTGTATATTTACATATATATATACATAGGTTACTGGTGTGTGTGTGTGTGTGTGTGTGTTTGGGGCTGGATTGGGGCCACTTCCACCCTCTTGTGTTCAGGGTGGGGTGGGTTGTGAAGGGATGAGGTGTTTTTTTATAGCAGCCTGATCCTATTGAGGGCAGTGATGTGTGAGTTAATTGCAGAGCGTGGATTCCCCCCCACTACGATATGATGTTTGCAGAAAAAGACCGGGTTGGCTACAATAATGGACCAGAGTAGCCTGGTTTCAGACCTCGTTTAAACTTTATTTACAAGAATAGTTTGATATAATTAGCTTAGCTTAGCATGCAGACTGGAAGCAGAGGAAACCAGTAACGTGTCTCTGTGTAGCACCTTTAAAACTCACTAACTGACACCTTATATCTCATTTGTTTAATCCGTTCAAAACTTGGACACTTAATTCTCCGGATCCACTTTGTTTGAACCAATCCGACAGCATCCAATCAAGTTGCAGGAGAGAGCCGCGAAGTACCAACGTTACGTTACCGAGCGCCAGTTATAGATAGAAAGATATTTTAGTTTCGTTCATTCTGTTTTTAACGTGGCATTATATCTGGTGAAGAGTACAAAGCTCAAGTTAAACTCAAAGTTGAGGACTTGGTACTCGAGTTTGAAGACTTGTAACTTGCAGAACAATGTCTCGGGTAACCAATTATTGATCATCCATCCACCTCGCACTGCACGTTTAGCTAAAAGAGGAAGAGTTGCTAAGTGGGAGGAGTTAATAATAATAATAATAATAATAATAATAATAATAAATAATAAAAAACCCATTCATTTCCCCCACAGGCAATGTTAGATAACAACAGTTGGGGCTCTAATACGGCTCTGATTGGCACAAAACCCTCTCGGTTGAATCGTTAGTACAAAAGGTTTTTTGGATACAGACCTTTGGGCATTAAAACTTAGAGTGAAAAACAATTTTCAACTTGGACTTGTCCTCACATTTATACAGATGTGGAAAGTAATGAAGTACAAATACTTTGTTACTGTACTTAAGAAGTTTTTTTAGGTATCAGCATTCATTTATTCAACTTTTATCCCTTTATTTTTACACAAATATCTATACTCACGTCTAATTATTTGCATCATTGTACGACTTCCCTACATCAAGGCCGGTGCATATCACACATGGCTAACATAACATGATGAAATGACAGAAACAAGAAGGAACAGACGAGAGAGGAAGATTCGACCCTATTTGAAGTTTCTGCTTCGTACAGAAACAGCCGGTAGAAATGTCCTTCAGAGAAACCAAGAGAGTATCCTTAACTTTTATACTTAAGTACTTTTTAAAGATATGAAATTGAATCAGTACTTTTACCACCTGTACATTTATACGCAGTCACACTTTAATCTGTTTCCTGTTGAACAACAAGACAATTTTACCTTCAGGCCTCTAAAATATTTAAATAATCTATGAATTGTTTAATTGTTCCATGAATCTGATAAAATGTCCAGGGGAAAAAAAAACAATGTTTAAAGGGACAGCTCAGCCTAAAATCAACAACACATATTTCCTCTCTTACCTGTAGAGCGATTTATCCATCTAGATTGTTTTGATGTGAGTTGCTGGGTTTTGGAGGTATCAGCCGTAGAGATGTTTCCAATATAATGGAACCAGATGATTCTCCAAAGAGTACAAATGCATTTTAAAAACTCAACAGCAATATCTTTTTCCAGAAATCACGACCTGCTTAATCAACATAATCCACACACTTTGTTGTGAGCAGTTTGAGGTAGGGACTATTTTCTCTTTCTACTAGACCTGCCAAACGAATCACTGCAACAACAAAACAACAACAACAACAACAAAAGGAGGAGTGCATCTCTGAGCTTGCAGCGGAGGACGTCATAAATATTTACATCCTGTGTGCATAGAAAGAAAATAGTTCCTGCAAGAAACTGCTCACAACAAGTTCTGTGGATTATCTCGAGTGACCAGGTCGTGATTTCTAGAAAGAGACATCGCTGTGGCGCCCTGGCAGCTCACCGGGTAGAGCTGGTGTCCCAGTGTGCCATGTCCTCGTTGAAGCGGCCATGGGCCAGACTGTGGCTCATCCCCTCTTTCTCCTATCTAATAGGTGGACTAAAGCCTAAAAAAGACATTGCTGTTGAGTTGTTTTCAGTACTTTGAGCCCCACAAGTCGAGTACCATCTGGTTCCATTATATTGGAGAGAAGACATCAAAACATATATTTTTTAACCATAGAACAGTTTATAATACAGTACCATCCACCACAGAAGAAGAGCACAGCAGACTGTGGACATCTGTGAGATTACAGAAGTAGCTTTGAAGATGCAACTTGTGTCGGGAACACTACGTGACTGAATCAGAGTAATAAACAGAGAGCTGAGGCCTGTTACCCTCTGACCACTAAAAGGATAACACTAACTAGATTGACCCAGCAGTTGTCACTAAATCTACTTGAATATTTGAATTATTTCTCTTCATTTAATTGAACAGACCTTTTCTTTTACCCTTATAGTCCTTGTTGGGACGGTGACGGTGTCCTGCTACAGGAAAGACTTGTTGGAGGTCTTCTGTGAATATTTAACCAACCGATAGGTCAGATACAGTCAGTAGTGATTAATTGCTAAGGGTGAAAACAGAAAACAACAACCACCAGCCTGCTTTCAGTCTGGATACTCCAGCGTGCATGCAGGCTAAAGACACTTTAAATAGGCTAAAGAGACTCTATGTTACCCTGACTGGCCCGCTTAATCTTCACAGAGCTAAAGAGGTCCAGTTTACACTCAGCGTCACTTACCAGACGCAGAATTGATCCCAGCATTTCCAGTCAGACAGTGTGAACCTTTAACTCAGACTTTAGACTTTTAATCTGTGCAGAGGATGAAATGTGCGCTGGGGAGAGATCAGGGTCAGAAGGTGAAACATGTCAGCAAACATTCAGATAAAGACAAACGTGTTTCTGAAGGACAGCTGTTGTTGTCCAGAGCTTGGCTGCTTTTGTTACAATTAGGTAAAGCAAAGGTTGGTTCTAATGTCTCACATCAAAGTACATCATTTAACTTCTTTAATCAATCACTGTAACTGTAATATTACCAGTGACCACTTCCTCTTCCTCCACTGTTGGACAGTTGGTGGTTTTACATTTCATCTTCTTTGCTATCAGCAGCAACACCCTGAGTAAATATGCCTGTTTTTTGGTATCTATATCTTCTCCCTGTATAAGGAATGCAGGTTCCTGAGAAAGGTCAACCCCCATGATTTGGTTGACATCTAATGGTGCATTGGTCTTTTGTTTTCTTCTGGTGGGATCTAGGTTGTTTATGACTTACTAAATGTAATTTCTCAGCCATTTCTGTGTGTGTTGTTGCATCCAGGCCAGGAAGAAAGCGGCGAGGGCGAGTCCTGTGATAACTTCACAGACCTCAACCTGTCCCACTGCTTCATGGGAACCAGCCTGTACGTCCGGCTGCTGCTCTACACCCGCTCCAACCTCGACTGCGGCCGCGAGCTCAACCACCACTACCTGTCCTCTCAGCCGCTCTTCAACCTCGCCCGCCCCACCGCCTTCGTCATCCACGGCTACCGGCCCACCGGAGCGCCCCCCATCTGGATAAACCACATAGTCCACCTGCTGGCCGAGCAGGAGGACATGAACATCATCGTGGTGGACTGGAACAAGGGGGCGGCCAACCTCAACTACTTCACCGCCGTGACCTACACGAGGGAAGCGGCTCAGAACCTGACCGGCTTTATCATGACTATGCAGGTGAGATCACCAACCTTTTTATCCTCTTTTAGCCCCTAGTTTTGTTTTTTTCAGGACATTTACTGTTTGGCTCAGTCTCAGTGTTTCCAGCAGCAGCACAGGATCGGGGGGCATCCAGCAGCTAAAGAACCAGATATTTTTCTCAGGAGTTGGTGGAGACCAAAAACAGAGCTGAAAGGAGACTATGGGAATATGGGACTTATATTCATCAGTTGGACACCAAGATGGCCCCCCTGTTGTTGCTCTGTGTTGGCTGGATGTGGAAATATGCAATTCCTTTGTTCCTGGTTGGAAGGTTGTTGTGGAGTTGACAAAAAAAGCAATTAATGCAGCTTCAAATGGACTAAACCTAAAACAAACTCTGACATAGTCTACTTGACCTCTTTGCAAGTTGAGTTCAGGGTTTCTCCAACAAAATTGTTTAATTGAGGCTGCAAAGGGCCCAGATCTTTACCCATCGCATCAATTTAGTTAGTAGAAGACATCTTAAACAAAAGCTACACACAGTTAATACATTATGTGATATTTTCACAAGTTGAACTTTCTCCAATGGATTTTTCTCAATGTATTCATTTACTTAAGTGTTCAATTATATTTTCTGTATTTCTTAACATAAAAAGGTCTTAATGCTGTTTCTCCACCCTGCCAGGACTCAAATCCTACTGGAGAAAGTACTTTTTTTTTTGAAGTAGTAGTTCAAATTAAGTATCTGGAGTTAAATATTTAAAGTCTTAGAAATACTGGAATCAGAATACCTACAATACACAGAGGACAATGGCAATGACAGTCCACAGAGTGTCTTTAATCTCACATTATTCCATGCATGAACAGTTAGCTGAGAGCTAAAATGACAAATAAAAAAAGAGAGAGAACAAAAACGTGCACCTTGAATGTAACGGTGAGTTTTGAATGTGTCTGCAGGAGGAAGGAGCCTCTCTGAGCTCAGTTCACCTCATCGGCGTCAGTCTGGGAGCTCACCTGGCTGGATTTGTAGGAGCAAACCTGAAGGGGAAGATCGGACGCATCACAGGTAAAACACACGAAACACAGCTTATAAAATGCTTAAAAAGTACCAAAAAAATCTGTTTCAGGTTTGAAAAAAGCTTCTGTCCCCCTTCCAGGTCTGGACCCAGCAGGGCCGATGTTCACCAGCGCCACACCAGAGGAGAGACTGGACCCCTCGGACGCCATGTTTGTGGACGTACTTCACACCGACATGAACTGTGAGCATCTAAATTACAATTACTGATAATAACTAAACACAGAGGTTTGTGTTAGGGGGTTTTCAAAATGCTTCATTTTCTGTAACTAAAGCTGTGAAATGAATATAGTGAATGTAGTCAGCAGGTTCAGGACTCAAGTTTGGCATAAACCATAAAAAATGAATGTTTAAAGAGACATTTTATTATGTAATATATGATTAAACATGAGTCAGTGGTCAGTTTACACACTCTTTATTTCTTCATGTGCAGCATTTGGACTGAGAGGAGCTCATGGTCATATTGACTTCTATGCTAACGGAGGAGCAGATCAACCAGGATGTCCCAAAACCATCTTTGCAGGTAAACACACACACACACACACACACACTCACACACACACACACACACACACTCATTAACACACACGCTCACTGCAGTATTGTCTCCTCCTCCTACAGGTAAATCTTATTTTGTGTGTGACCACCAGCGCTCGGTGTTCCTGTTCCTGTGCGCTCTGAACAGAACCTGCAGCCTCACAGGTTACCCCTGCTCGTCCTACAGCGACTTCCTCGATGGGCGGTGCCTCCAGTGTGAGGCCTTTAAACCCGCTTCCTGTCCTGTGCTCGGTAGGTGTTGAAATGTCCTCGTGGTCACTGAGTGCTGAGCAGCCTTTAGAGCTCTGATGGAGGTTTGATGGAGGTCTGATCACCTGTGCGGTCTCACCTGCAGGTTACGATGTCAGCCAGTGGAGGGACACTCTGCTGAAGCTCGGAGAGACTAAAGTCTTCTTCAGCACCACGGCCACGCTGCCCTACAGGAGTGAGTCAAACACACACTCACTTATAGATTCACAGCAAAATATCTTCCAACTATTTTCCTTCTTTTGTGCAAAAATAAACATTTTATGGCTCCATGATTCTCTATAAAATAATTCTTCTTATGCAAACATAGTTAACATAGAACATAAAGCCTTTAATTACTCTCACTGCCACAAGGGGAGACAGAAGTTCACCAGTGCATGTCTTAGTAACATTTTAATGCTTGTAATGGAGTATTCCTACAGTGTGGTATTAGTACTTTTACTTACTGGATAATATTTAGTTTCAGGATAGTCTGGTTTCACCCAGTGGGGTGTCTGTTAGGACAGAAGAGCTTTATTTAATAAGAGTTTAAACTGGTTTGTCTTAAAGATAACAAAGGATCAATACAGACATATTTATTTACTTTGTAAGCCTACCAATGATGAAATAACTCTATTGAAACTATTTAGAACAGCAAATAATCAGAAACTAAAGCAATAAATACATTTAAACCAAAGGAAACTTACATATCAGATACACAGTTCAAACATTTAGACAGTAGACTGTAATACTGTTTGTGTCCTGTGTGTGGCAGAGCTGAGCTACAGAGTGGACATGGTGACCTGGAACCAGTACCTCCGCTGGGGGGTCGTCTACATCCGGCTGCACAGTGGCAGAAACTTCACAGAGGCCCGGATAGACCAGTAAGTCTGTCAGGAGATCACCTGGAACACCAGTTTCCCCTGTGAGCCTTCAGTTAGAACAGTGGTTCCCAACCAGGGGGTCGGGACCCTCGCTAGGGGTCGCCAGAGCTTCACGGGGGGGTCATGAGGCCTTCTTGATTTTATTTGACAATAAGAAGATGTTGGCTACCTGTTCTGCAGTGGTATCCACTTCAATGACCTCCGACCTTCTGTTGAAGCACCACCTGACTTTAATTCTCCTCCTCTTTGCTCCCAGTAAGCTCCTCCGGTTCGAGCAGTACACCTCCACCCGGCTGCTGGCCCAGTTCGACGAGGATCTGCAGCAAGTCCAGAAGATCTCTCTCCGCATCAGCACCGGCAACGTGATCGGACCTCGTTACAAAATCAGACTGCTGAGGATACGCTTCACTCCGCTGGATCGCCCCGAGAGGTCAGTCCTGAACCCAGAGCTCGGTCCTGAACCCAGAGCTCGGTCCTGAACCCAGAGCTCGGTCCTGAACCCAGATCTCGGTCCTGAACCCAGATCTCGGTCCTGAACCCAGAGCTCGGTCCTGAACCCAGAGCTCGGTCCTGAACCCAGAGCTCGGTCCTGAACCCAGAGCTCGGTCCTGAACCCAGATCTAAGTCCTGAACCCAGAGCTCAGTCACGTTTAGCTGATGCTGGTTTTATTTTACAAGTTTAAATACAATGCAGTGCACCAAAGAAATAAAAAGACATGACAATAAAACAAAAGATAAATAAACAAATCAAATAGAATAAAGTAAAGACGACAGCACATGAAGACAAGTCTATAAAAATGGGTTTTAAGAAGTGTTTTATGTCTAAAAACATTTAAATCACAGTTTCCTGAAGCCAAAGACTCCTTCATGTTGCTGTTGGGATCAACAATCAATAACTATCAGTTTGCAGCCACACAAGGGAAAGAAATGTATTTTTATTTAACCAGGAAAGGTCCCGTTGAGGTTAAAAATCTAAAGATCTATCTATCTATCTATCTAATTCTTCTAAAGAGAATAAAGAGCATTAGAAACAATCCGTCCAACAACACCCATCAGCCTCCAGCAGGAGATCAGATCAGTTCCTGTAGTATAGTCCACTCTGAGGGTCCCAATGTACCAACATTTAGACGACACAGACCACAACGAACTCTGTCCGTCACACTTCTACACTAATAGGATGGGAGCAACACATTGTCTCATATATGAGAGTACCAGTGAGTGTATCAGTGCCTGCGGGTTGCTGAAGCTGTACCACAGGGGTCAGTGAAGGCATCACAACTAGCTGTAGACTAACTGTTCTTCATCCTTCTCTCCGTCAGGCCTTTAATGTGCCGCTTTGACATCATCATGGAGGAGAACATGGAGGTGGCGTTCCGACCGTTACCCTGCAACTCTCACCTCTGACTCCCCGAGCAGACTCACTTCCTCTTCCTCTTCCTCTTCCTCATCTTCTATGGGAACACATCAGGCGTCCTCTGGGTGCTACAGGGTCTCCCAAGCCCTGGGTGGACAGTCCAGGGCCCCCCCCCCTGCAGGAGGAGGAGCTGCAGCCTCCTCAGTGGATGATGAAGATGACCTGTCTGGCTGCTGAGGATGACTCCCGGTTACTGGAACATGCTGCTGGCTGCTGATGGGACTTAAAGCTGTGAGATCAGTTCTCTCCACGTTCTGTGTCTCTTTATCTCCGGATGCTTTTTTTACTTCAAAGAAACATTTTCTAACTGCAGTGAAACCGTCGGTGCTACAAACTCTGATTATCATCTCAGTGTCAGTGATACGAGAGTGGCTGTCAGCTTCTTCTCATCCATCACAGAGGAATGAATTCAGATTTCTGTGTATGTGTGTGTGTTCCTGACGTTAAATATATATATATTATATATATAATCGGGTTAATGGGTTGAGAAAATACATGTTTTTTCACAGCACAGCAGTGATATACAAACTTTAAACTCTTATGAATTTACAGTTTACAAACGAAATCACAATTTTGGATGATTTAAAAAAATATATTTCAGTCAAATTTTGAAATATTGAACTAATAATGAACAAAAATGGAAAAATGAATTCCTTAATGATGGATTAAATGGATTAATGTTCATCTTTACCTTAAAACCAATTACCCAATGTGAACATTTATTAAGATAATCTCTCATTCTTGACGTTTCAAGACTGGAAAACTTTACATTTTTGACGTTGGTCCTAAAAAAGAGGTGAAATCTGTCTGTTTCAGTTTCAGTGCAGTTACAAGGATGATTAAAAATACAGTTTGTTTTCTCTGTGTGCCTTCGTACCAGCAGCTCTCAACCAAAGTGTGAATGTCTGCAGATACACTGACAGTACGGGGATGGGGGGGTTGAAACTCCGGGCTGCTACCTCATCAGTAAACGCTGCTATGACGTTTGTCCACAGTAAAACACGAGCTGCTGTACCATTGAGTTTGGTCTTTATGTGTTTTACTTTAATGAGCTGTTAAAGAGTTTTAGGTGTCAGTAAATGTTTCCTGTTGTCACTGTTGACATAACTGAGCAGCAAACACAAAGAATCCTCTGATAGAAAACTAAATGTGTCCGTGTTGAAATGTCTTTTTTTATTGTGTATTTTCACCGATGGTTTGAAATAAACATTCATTTCAATATATTTGAGTTATAAAACTGACTTATTTCTTTAATATAGCCTCTAACTCGCAGGTCGCCGTGTTTCTGCAGTAGATTGAGGGTTTTGTTTTGTGTCCACTGTAGTTTCTTCCTCTCATTGGAAGCAAATAAGTTGCAATCCTTCACACTGGTCCTATAAATATGTTTTGTGATCTATGCTCTTATTTTGAAGTTGCTACAAGCACTAGAAAAACAACCGAAAGCTCATTTTTAATCTTACAAATGCCAGCTTGACAAAGAAACTCCTCACTGAACCTTTAAAAGAGATTCTTCTGCAGCTTTCAGTCACATCTTGTGGTTGTTACAGAGAAACTTAAGTTATCATGTGACCTGATGTCCAATCCTCGAGCGTATTAATCACACAGTTGACCAATTGAACTTCATTGAAACTCGATTTATGTTTTTTCTTTGTGGTTTTAAAGTTTTGTTTTGATATTTACCTCAACGCCCTTTCATGAATATATGACCACCTTATATCATGTGACTGAAAACTCCATAATTAAACCTCTCAGCTCAGGAAGAAACAAGCAAACCTTGTTCTAAGATTGTTTTATCAAACTGGTTTCATACAGCTTTTTATTTTGTTCATTTTGATTAAAAAATATCGTGTAACAGCGACGGTGACGCTTTAAACTCTCAGTTGTACGATGAAGTGTACGTGGATGCACATTTTGGCAGAATCTGGCATTTTACCAGCAGACATTTTGACCTGTTACAGTAAGGAAAGTATAGATTTATGTCACTGTTAACCCAGATTCACTCCCAATAAAGCAACATGGTTGACTTTGACACACAAATGACGCCCGGACAAAATCAAAAAGACAAATGTTTTATTAGTTCAGCAGCACCGAGATATGTGACTGACAGAAAGGCTGGTGGAGAGCGACACTGAAACATATACAGATAAAATTTAATTGAAATTAATATGAGTCGACTTCTATGTTCATTAACATAACTAGATCATCAATATAGCAGCTAAACAACGACCTGATGACAGGAAAAAAAGCTGAGTGAATTTTATTAGTTTCACATTTAATATCTCTGTTTAAATGAGATCTCTTAACGATACAGCCGTAGACGCTCAAACCGACATTATCCAGATAAATGGCGACTGTTGGATTAAAATGTTTTAAATCAACATTACACATGTGAACGGAGAAATACAGACAATCAATAACAGAAAGACACAAAGAAAGAAAAGATGGAAGGACAGGTGTAGACAGAAGTTACAGATCGTTTCACATTCAGTTGAATTCATCAGTCTGACGCCAGCATTGTGCTGTTGACCGAAATCAAACCGGCCACAGAAAAGTAGAAAATACTTCCTTACAATCGGCTGGTTTTTACAAGCAGTATAAAAGTCTTCAACAAACCAACAGCATCCAAACGGGGACAACCTCTCCTCCGGTGTCCCGTCACCAGCTCGGACCTACGAAGGAAGGTCAGAGAAATGTGTCAGTGTAGAAACAGTAAAAGAGGATTTGACCGGTGTGAATGGAGCGAGAGAAGGCGGGAAGATGGGATTGGAAGCAGCTCAGGTATGATTAGGAAACCTCCTTAAAACAGTAACGGGTGAGCGGGTCAAAGGGAATATATTCCACTACCCAGCCGACCTTAAAGACTCAACGTGACGCTGCTGGGGGGGGAAAGAGCAGCAGGGCTGTTACACAACGAGAGGTCACACTGAGGTTGAGTGAGGTTGTGCAGAGGGTGTGAAGTTACCTGGAGGGTTGTTACGGTTGTTCTGTCGCCTCACTGGTCCGAGCCGGTTGTTGAAGCGATAGTTCCTGCGTTGGGGGCCGGTGTTCGGCCTGTAGGAGGGTCCTCTCCGTGGTCCCTTCAAAAGGAGGACAGACAGGTTAAAGACTGAAAGGTCGCAGGTCAAACGCCACTGAAACATGACTAACACTCACCATGTTGCCTTCCCGCCTCCGGCTCTGCTCCTCCGGCCAGTTGGAGAATCCCTCGTCCTCCATCGGAGCCATTTCGTCCTTGTCGCTGTACTCCAGACTCAGCTCGCTGACAGAAACATGAACACGGGTTGCAGAACGTTCTAGTTAACGAACGCTAGAGAGAATAATTCATAACAGCACCACTCCACCAAGCTTCTTCTGCAGCGGATTAACTCAGTTCTAGTCAGAGATTAAGATGTTATCAATAAATTTAGTTTAATGTTTGGTGGAAACAACAGTAAGGAAGATGAAGTTTAATCTCACCTGACTGGCCCCAGGGGGCGCTGTGACATACTGTTCCCTGATATTGTGACTTTAACCCCCTCCAGCTTCTCCTGTCTCCTCCTCTCCAGGTCGTGCCTCAGGTCGCCCGGGCCTCGCACCGGCTGTGTCATCACACATCACCAATATAATCAATAACATTTCTCCCTCCGTCATTACAGGATGTCAGGTTAGTATCAGAGTTTATTTACCAGAGGTCCCAGTCTGGAGAACAGAGGCTCGTCGTCGTCAAGCAGTGAGCTCATGTTCAAGCTGAAGCCTCTGGAGAGACGAAGGAAAAACAAAAAGGAGCAAATCATCACTTTATTTATAGCAAACAATGCCTTAAGATAAGTTTAAAACATTTAAAATGGAATTAGAAGTATAAAAAGTTACAGTATCATGAGTGCATAGTTTGGACCTCACGACCGGAGCCTTAATGTGATGTCTTAAACATCTTCTACTGTCCTTCCCCCGGACTTCTCAATACACCCACATATAGATCCCTTGTCCCCGATCATGTTCAGTCGTGCTCCATCTGTTTAGTTCTCTATCTGATCCTGTCAGCTGCTCCCGATGCATGGGTCACCTACGGGAATATCTTCTGGGTTTCACTGTCCTCACTGATCTTCTATAACAGATTTATGGCCGGCAGCGGTTTTCCTTGTTTTTCTGTCTCTCTTATTGTCTTATTTCTTGTGTGTGAATTCACTTATTCAGAAACTTTAAGACTCTTAAATGATTAAAACTGTTTATCCCAGGGTGCATTTCCTCTACTGCACCAACTACCATCTATTTTTCTCTCTCTTAGTCACTGCTGCCCATGTTACAGTGCACAATGTCAACCTGTTAAGGTAACTGCTTAGGAGGTACGTTTTATGGAAACAGATCACACTCATCACGGGACTCACCGGGTTAAACTGAACCTCTCATCCAACGTCAGCTCCTCGGTCTCCTCTTCAGAGTAGCCGCCTTTTTGGGGAGCTGAGAAACGCTCGTTCAGGGTGACCCCATCATCTCTGAAATACTGATCTGTAAATGTAAACAAGAAACACTTTAAAAAGGACTTAAATATGTCAAGTACTTTGTGGTTTAATCACAATCCAAAAAGGAGCCAGGAAACACAAGGTGGACAATAAGGCTTCAGTGTAACTCAATCAGGCAGTGGAGCCGTGTTAGCACATGCTAACTGTGTCCATTAGATAATATACTGATCAGACAGACTATGACAACTTCATTCAATTTGGCAAATCACTTAAGAGCTGCAGGAAAGAGCTGCTCTTGTCCTTGCTTTGTCCTTCCTCTCGAGCCCCGGGGGAGTTTAGTGTACGAGCTATTTTAAAGCTAGAAACTGGGGAAAGGACTGTAATGTTACTTGGATGTAGACTTTAGACTGTAGGCACCATAAACTGAGTAAAGAATGGATTTGTGGACCAGTAAAACGTTTATGAGAGGTCTTGAATCTGAATTGAGTTCAGAAAAGAGTACAGCTTTACTTTATTTTTAGATGTGTTGGTGCCAAAACTAATATAATACAAATTAATATGTTTGTTTTACTTTCCTCTTGTATGTTTCAGTGTCCAAATTAGGCATCAAAACATCTGGATTCAGTATGAAACACATAACAAACCTTTGACCTGGTGGACCAGCGTGATGATCTCCTGGGCAAAAGTCCCAGTGTGCATGGCGGTCTCCCGATACGTCCCAGAGTGCTCCAGCATGGGCAGGAAGTCCAGACGTTGGCGACCCACATTGACGAGGTCTAAAGAGAGCTGCCGGTCTGAGGAGTAACACAGCGAGCTGCAGAGGAGGAGAGAGAGGAAGAATGAAACCAGCACAGACATAAAGCGAGTGCTTACTTGAATTAAGTAATAAGATTAGTGACGTTTATAAACTGCTGTGATGAGGAATGATGAAGGCTGAGAGTTGCACTAACTCGCTCTGTGTATTGTGGACATATGAACTCTTTTAAAAGTCAATAATTACTGTGGATAAATAATTTAAAGTCCTGAAAGACAGAATATTTCTGAACTATTAAAGTAAAAAAAGATAATAAAAGCAACATCTTTACCATACCCAACGGACTTACCTTACATGAGTTCCACAACTGACAGTGTTTATAATAATTTACAGCCTATACGTAGACTAAAGAGGGGGATTACGTGGGGGGGATTCACCCTGAGTCACACAGAATCGTACGAATTCATAATCTGTTTGTGGATATTTATAAAAAGGCTTAGAAATGAAAGCCAGAGGAAACCAAGATACCCCTCCTTTTAATAGACAGGTGAGTTAAATGTGGGGTGAAAGTTCACACTTCTTTTCTTGTTTGATCCGTTATATTGTTCCTTTCAGTCAGACTGTACGATGATACTTTCATAGCCCACTTTGGCCGCTCTTCATCAGTGATGGCTCTTTGTTCAAACCCACAGCTCCTCCATGATTTCACTGATCATCCTTTAACTTTGGGAGCCGCTTAGCTTCGACACAGGATATCGTTGTTCATGATGACGCTTTCATTTCTCCGTTGGTCAGAATGGATAATTATGACTTTAATGTCCCTTTTTTCTGTTTGATGGTGACATTGTTGACAGCTTTATTTTCTCCTTCAGCAGCACTGATGTTCATGTTTCTTCTTTTCCAGATTGAGGACTTTTACTCTTTCACTTTCTTGTGTAAACGGTTCTGATGACGCTTCAACTCCCTCCATTTTCCAGCTCTGACTGTTTATGTTCACGGCTTTAATTTCTCCATCTTTCTGGCTTGATGC